CTCACCAGAGGAAGGACTGGCACGCCGCTCCCTGGAGCAGCGCGGCGCCCGCGGTCAAGAGAGCGGGAGGCACCGCCGTCAAGCGGCGGCATTTGCCCGCTGAGGTACCCGTTGGCTCAAGCCGGGCGCCGGGCCAAACAGCTCATCACCGCGCGCTGGCAAGCTGAGCTGATGAGCTCTGGACTCGTACGACCACACGACACGGGCTACACCGCCAGCATCCGTGCTGGAGGGTGGTGTCTTGGCCGTGGCGCCATGGGCTCCTGGGCCCGCCGTCGCTGCGGGGGGGACATGGGCCACCACACTCCTTAGAGCCAGCGCCCCAAACCCTGAACCCCAAACGTCCCTCGTGCCAGAACACCCAGACGAGGGCGCGCTCACGGCGGCCATGCGAAACGTTCTCCGTTACCTCACTCGGGCACTGTCGAGGAAGGCATGGGCCAGGCCACACGTGATGCCACGCAGCCGGAACCGCAGCCAAACATTAAGTCGGGCCTGTCCCTCTACAGGAGGAATATTCAAAAATAATCCAAAATTAGCCTGGCGAAGGACCCAACCATATGCAGCTGTGGGTATCGCATTCGGGGGAGCCCCGTATGGGGCCATGAAGCGCTGTACTGGGTGGGGGGGACGCATGCGAACTGCGCCACTGGGTCCTTCGGTGGAGCTCCCTATGGGGCCACGAAGCGCTGTACTGGGTGGGGGAACCGCATGCGGGCTGTGCCACTGGGACCTTCGGGGGAACTACCTATGGGGCCACGAAACGCTGTACTGGGTGGGGGGGGACGCATGCGACACGCGCCACTGGGACCTTCGGGGGAACTACCTATGGGGCCACGAAACGTTGCCTTGGGCGGGGGGGAGGTATGCGAACTGCACCACTGGGGCCTTCGATGGAGCTCCCTATGCGGCCACGAAGCGCAGGCCTGGGTGAGGGAACCACATGCGGGCTGTGCCACTGGGACCTTCGGTGGAGCTCCCTATGGGGCTACGAAACGCTGCCCTGGGTGGGGGAACCGCATGCGGGCTGTGCCACTGGGACCTTCGGTGGAGCTCCCTATGGGGCACGAAACGCTGCCCTGGGTGGGGGAACCGCATGCGGGCTGTGCCACTGGGACCTTCGGTGGAGCTCCCTATGGGGCCACGAAACGCTGCCCTGGGTGGGGAACCGCATGCCGCCACTGGGGCCTTCGGTGGAGCTCCCTATGGGGCTACGAAACGCTGCCCTGGGTGGGGGAACCGCATGCGGGCTGGCCCACTGGGACCTTCGGTGGAGCTCCCTATGGGGCTACGAAACGCTGCCCTGGGTGGGGGAACCGCATGCGGGCTGTGCCACTGGGACCTTCGGTGGAGCTCCCTATGGGGCTACGAAACGCTGCCCTGGGTGGGGGAACCGCATGCGGGCTGTGCCACTGGGACCTTCGGTGGAGCTCCCTATGGGGCTACGAAACGTGTGAGGGGTGTGCCGAGAGCAGAGGCAAGGAGGGGGAGGAGGGAGGAGGGCGAGGAGGAGGAGGAGGAGGAGGAGGAGGAGAGGTGGGACGCGGGCCGTTGTCTCTTCAAAACGAGGACCCAACACCACAGGATGGTTGGGAAATAGTCTGGGGACTATTTTTTGAATATGTTTTGACCATTTCGGAATATGTTTTGAATATCTTTTATTTTTCGTCGAATCCACCTGTAGGGGGACACGCCCGACTTAAGCCAAACACCGTTGCGCACAGAGGCGGCGACGCTGCCACAGCGGCCAGTGGACACAGGACGGGCACCCACCCAACAAGTAGAAGCGGCGGGGTGCCGGCAGGCGGGAGAGAGGCGAGTGTACCCCATCTCCGATGGAGGCGGCGGGGAGCGCCCAAATCGGACGCCCTGGCCAGAAGCAGCCCACGCGATGATCGGAATCCAAGCGGACCGGATGCCGCCGATCAACCCACTGCAAGCTAAACACGAGGCGCAGCCCAGGGGTCCCAAGCGTGAACACCGGGCGGCCCAGGTCCCTGCGGAACTGCTCAACCGCATCAACGACAGAGGACGGGCAAGAGACGCCGAAGTGCGGACACCAGCAGGAGTGAAACAAGCCCTCTGAAACAGTCCCTCTGGAGACCTGCTCGCACCCGACCCTGCGATACACATCATCGACCTGGTCGAAAACCTGGTGCGACAACAGACCAGCGGTGTCACGTGGACCAAGGAAGACGCTGCCAAGTCGGGGCCCACTGCACTCCCGCGGCTCACCTGAAATCTCGCTGAACCGACGGAACACGCGTACGCACATATGGCTTTCTTCCACGCTACCAGGATTGAGACCCCGAGTGCATCCGATATGGTGGTGGCTGGGAACTGCTGCCAGAACCACGGCAAGAAGCAGCCAGCGCGAAGTCACCAGACTGCGCATATGTCAGCACTCACCCCGTGCACTCTGAAAGCGACTGTACCCCGCCGCCCACCACCGAGCCAGGGAAAGCGGAGCACCCCATGGCGAAAGGCTCCATCGTCGTGC